CTAAACTATCTTCATTTATACTGGATAGCTCTATCAGTTCTAAACTGTTCTTCCTAGAGGTCCAGTAAGGATCATCTCTTATTGATCCAGTGTTACTATACTGGAGGAAACCTAAACTAAACTAACTTCATTTATACTGGATATAGCTCTATCAGTTCTAAAACTGTTCTCCCTAGAAGTCCAGTAAGGATCATCTCTTATTGACCCAGTGAACTAAACTATCTTCATTTATACTGGATAGCTCTATCAGTTCTAAACTGTTCTTCCTAGAGGTCCAGTAAGGATCATCTCTTATTGATCCAGTGTTACTATACTGGAGGAAACCTAAACTAAACTAACTTCATTTATACTGGATATAGCTCTATCAGTTCTAAAACTGTTCTCCCTAGAAGTCCAGTAAGGATCATCTCTTATTGACCCAGTGAACTAAACTATCTTCATTTATACTGGATAGCTCTATCAGTTCTAAACTGTTCTTCCTAGAGGTCCAGTAAGGATCATCTCTTATTGATCCAGTGTTACTATACTGGAGGAAACCTAAACTAAACTAACTTCATTTATACTGGATATAGCTCTATCAGTTCTAAAACTGTTCTCCCTAGAAGTCCAGTAAGGATCATCTCTTATTGACCCAGTGAACTAAACTATCTTCATTTATACTGGATAGCTCTATCAGTTCTAAACTGTTCTTCCTAGAGGTCCAGTAAGGATCATCTCTTATTGATCCAGTGTTACTATACTGGAGGAAACCTAAACTAAACTAACTTCATTTATACTGGATATAGCTCTATCAGTTCTAAAACTGTTCTCCCTAGAAGTCCAGTAAGGATCATCTCTTATTGACCCAGTGAACTAAACTATCTTCATTTATACTGGATATAGCTCTATCAGTTCTAAAACTGTTCTCCCTAGAGGTCCAGTAAGGATCATCTCTTATTGATCCAGTGTTACTACAGGAGGAAGCCTAAACTAAACAAACTATATTTTACTTTATTTTTTACTGGATTTTTACCCAGGATCATGATTTCAAAATGTCGAATGATATTTTAGTCTACTCACGCCACAAAAATAGCAGCGGTTGCGGTAGTCGGTTTTGTTAAATTTTAATGCGCGTCACTTGGTTGGAGAGTTGAGCGTCATTTTGATTTGTGGTTTATAGCATACGATGTTTTAGTCTGAAAATTATTCCAGATTTACGTTCCCATGGAGATATCACATCACAAAAGTGTGCCGAAACCATGTGGCGTGTTGAACATTATTTGGGAAAGTGAAAAACATACTTGTTCGACCATTCGGCCCACGAGAAATATGAAATAAAGATGGCGGAAATTAATGGACAACTTGCATGTTAGACTAAATTTTAATCTAAGTAAAGAGAAGGGAATCAAACACCACAGCTAAAAAGAACATAATGAAATTAGTAAAATTGCAAAACTTGGTTGCGAAATGTTGTGAAGCTTGGAAATATATAGTCATGCAAAGTTTGCAAATTTTGTATATGTTTGCATTACGTGCGGAAATTGTTACCATTTTCGGCTCAAAAATGGTAATAATTTCCGCACGTAATACAAACATATACAAAATATGCAAACTTCACAAGGCTATATTTTCCGTATTTTACAACATTTCGTAACCAAATTTTGCCATTTTACTAATTTTAATAAGTTGTTTACGGTAATTTACTTTTGTTTGCCTAGATCAAAAATTGGCTATTAACGCCCAAAATCTACGAAGGTCGTAAAACAGTTTTCGCACAATTCCTCCCAGCTATTTCCAGCTTTTCAAACGGACCGCGTCAGTTCATAGAACCATAGTATTACTCTTTAAATCAATCGAAATTTCCGGCACACTTCCTTGCAGCTTCGTCTCAACCGCGCAGATGAAAACAACAGAAAGGGACTGGCACTGGACGTCATCGATGTCTTCGCTTTTTCAACCAAGTTCTCACTCCAAATATACGTTGAGTTCACTGGACGATATGCGACGTGCGGTTATATTGATGGATAGAAATACGTCACAATTTACAATTCAGAAAACCTGTAGTTTCGCAGTAAGATTTACTGAAAATTTGCAAACGAAAGGCACGAGTTTAATCAGCTATATTTTACATTACTTCTTAAACTATACGATCTAATCGTCGCAAAGTATATTAGCGAAAATTTATAACACACTGACAGAATTCATTCACTAAACCAAAAATTTGCACGCTACCCCAAAACGATGGAAAATTTTCTCTTTCCAATTACTCCAAAAAGAGTGATATGAACTACCAAATCATCAAATGTACACGTACCATTCATTTATTATGATATACACACAAATTTATTATGATGTCAATACTATACAAAATTGATGATTTTTATATTTCACTAATAATGTCCCAAAATTTATCATAATTATTCATTTATTTACAGTAACGATTTGCTCAAAAGCAGGTGCAAAATACAATAGGGTATATAATAGTTCCCTACTACAGATTAAAAACGTGTTTCACAACTTAATCACAGACCTAATACAAGTTTGCACTGTTATAAATATTTACAACTGATTTACACCTGTACACGTCTTAAGTAATCCTGTATTATTCTGTGATATCCCCAGCTAACCTCAACTAACCCCAAGCTAGACCCCAACTGACTACAAACTTAAACTGGACTATTATTTAGGTCAATGACCATATAGCGTAGAAATAATAGATATATTTTCTGGTTTTATAATTTCCTCCATCATACAGCCAAGTCGGAATCTCGCTGCAATATCGAAGCCTCTTGATTGAGTTCTTTGAAGAACGTTTCGTATCGTTTGAGTTTCGTGTCTCTGTCACGAATCTTTCTCCGCAATTCGTAAAAATTCTGAGTAGGTACAGTACTGGCTTCATGACTGGTTTGCTAAATTTTGACGAGAAAAACGTTTAGATGTATAGATAATCAAGTTACACACAAAATTAAAGGGCAATTGCATTTTCCACCTTAAATAATTCGTGGTTATGCAAATGAGTTTGATTTAATTTGTTCATTTCACGGCTCTAGTTGTGGTTTCAATGGACCAACTTAATTTGGTATCCCAATTGCCCATTTACTGTTTATTTACACCTTTGATAGATGTAGTATTTTGGTTTCGTTGTCATGCTAATCAGAATGCATTTGTTACGTGCTTAATTGAAAATGCCATCTCTCAAAAAGTGAACATTAACATTTGAAATGGGCGATTTGCTTGCCAAGTTAAGTTGGTTCATTGTTGGATCTGTTTGAGACCTAGGCTCGCAAAATAGGAAGCGTTGCTTCCTAGCAATGTTTCCAGAAGGAATTCCCAAAGGAGTATTGAAATTGTATAAAACGAATATGAGATTCAAAGATCACAAGCAAACTTTTTGCGATACACCTACCGTTTTCTCGAGATTCTTCCGCAATGTCCTCAATTCATTTCGATATTTTTCAGCCAATTCTTCCTTTTCTCTTTCATATTTCTTACTCAACTCCAGTCGTTCCATCCTCATGCCACTTTTCAACTCCTGTTTCTGATGGTTCAGCACCTCATTCTCTTTTCTCAATTCTTTAATACGACTTTCCATAAACATCTTCTCCGAGTTCATTTTTGTTCTAAATTCTGACTCCAGCCGGTCGTAAATAACAGCTTCGCTGGCTGAAATGTCCGTGGTCTAAAATTTCGTAAAGAACAGGATGCTTTTTAGGATTTTTTTCAACAGAGTTTTACTGAAATATTACATTTCTAGAGTTATATTTAGAAGCTATTTCCAACAAAGTTTATGTTTGTCGTGAAATGTTTTATCTTAAGTGAAAAAAGCTATTCAATATATATATATATAAGTTTAGTTTAGGTTCCCTTTTGTAGTAACACTGGAACAACAAGGGATGGCTCTTACTGGATCTCTAGGGAGAAAAGTTTAGAACTGATAGAACTATCCAGTATAAACAAAGTTAGTTTAGATTAGGTTTCCTTCTGTAGTAACACTGAATCAACAAGAGATGATCCTTACTGGACCTCTAGAGAGAACAGTTTAGAACTGATAGAGCTATGATATCCAGTATAAATAAAGTTAGTTTAGATTAGGTTTCCTTCTGTAGTAATACTGGATCAACATTCAAGAAGGAATGACTCTTACTGGGTCTCTAGGAAAAATAATTTAGGCAGAACAGTATAAACAAGTGCGTAAGTGCCTTTCGTTCACTTTATCCAACGATATTATTACCTGTTTTAAACTATCTCCTTGTTGCGTAGAAATTTCATTCATCGCCTTGCTTCTTTCTTTCTGCAACCTCTCGATCTCCTGTCTCAACGAGTTCAATGTTTCTTGGAATCGCTTCTTCTCCACTTTCATTTTTTCTTCAAACTCATTCTTGATCTGCTCTTTCGATTCTTTTTCATTCGAAAGCCACAATTTTTCATTCTTTTCACTTCCAGTTATTTCATTCCCAATTTTATCTTCCATTTCTGCAACTTTTGAAGCCTGTTGGGAAATTATCAGATTGTCATTGGCAACAAGTTTGCAATTATTTCTTATAATATATTTCTTACAATACAATGTAATGATCTGATTTGAGAAATAACTATCCTAAAAGGTTTCTGACTTACTGGGAGATTTTTTTGTTAAATTTAAAGAAAACACGTAATTGCTTCTATTGTGGAGAATATAACTCAAGCACATACCAAATTATTTCTTTCTGTTTTGAATTTCATCAATTCCTCTTTTAATTCCACTTCTCGTGCTTCCATTTCTTTTTTGACCTTTTCCAAATCATCCTGAAACTTCTTTTCTAATTTTCCTTCAATTTCATTTTTCATCTCTTCATAACTCGATAACAACTCAGTTCGCTCATTTTCAAAAGCCAGCACAAGTTTCTCTTTTTCAATTCTATTATTCTTTCTGATCTCATTTCGTTCCTCCTTCAACCGAACGATTTCGTTGATAAGATTTTGCATTGCTTTTTCCATCGATGCTCTCTCGTTGTTAATCAACTGTTGCATGTTTGATTTCTCCGCGTTAACTTGCTCTATCATTTTTTGTTTATCCGCCTCGTGTTTTGCCCTCTGTACACGAAGTAGCTGCTCGGCTTCTTCAATCTCTGCCTGATGGTCCATGACCTTCTTCAGAAGATCTTCGTATTCAATGTCCATCAAGCTATCATTCTGATATTCTTGGCTCGACTTTAAAATTTGGTCTCCACCTTCAGCATCTAAAACGAAAGGTATGATAAAATTGTTTACTAATGTACTGGTTTTCTAAACACACCCCTCGCGGAAACCAACAAACTATTTATGAGGCATGTAAGAGTGTTTGTACTTCATAAACTCCAGCAAAACGCATTTTTTATTATTCTAGTGTTACTACTGGAGAAAACCACATTGCTATGTTGGTAATGTCAAACAACACACGTAAAAATCTCACAACTTGCCAACGAGATGTATTCGCAAAAGGCTTGTAGCAAGCTTGTAAACAAGTTGTAACAATGTTGTTATTTTATCAAGTTGCTACACGGTTGTCACTCACAACTTGTTAAATTGTTGAATTGCAGAACGATAACAAGTCTTTGGAACAACTTGTAACAAATCTGTTGAGCTCAACAACCTTGTAGCAACCAAGCAGTGCGAACACATCCTGTTGACAAGTTGTCGGAACAGAATCGCTACAAGACTGCTGCAAGTTTGTAACTGACTTGTCGTGTACAACAAAACTGGAGTGATACCCCGGTCCCAAAGGTGGAAAGCAAATTAATAACCACTGTGTCAGTTTATAGAATAAAAAACTAAAAATATGAGCGAAACATTACTTGCTACAGGTGCCGCTTCAGATAACTTCACTGATTCACCGGAATTTTCTCGACCATCCAGCCCACCATTTTCAACATCTGATTCATTCTGATTTCTCAAATCATCTCCGGAACTTGTCTTGGGTCTGTCATCTTCCACCAAAACACCATCTCTCTGCTTTCTGAGAGCTTCCAATTCTTGCCCCAACACATTAACTTTCACCTGAAGATGTTCGACAGTTTCTGTATCACTCGCATGAGAATTTATTAAATCTTCGTATTCTCTAACGACGTCTTCGATATGTCTACCACATCTTAACTCTTCCGCCATTTTTAAGCGTTGGTCATTTTCTTCACCGTTTAAACCAGCGTCTTTACCCACGACAAGTGAAAACAAGCTCTCACCAAGATGTTGTTTAACTTTATCAAGGTCGTTCTCATATTCGTTTAAGACACTGGCCAAAGTATTTTTATCTTTAACGAGTCCCTCAACACATTTCGGAATCTCCTGCGTATCATTCAAAATCATCCCTTCTTTCGATAACTCCAAAAGCTTCTCAGATAGATTATCGCCAACTACATTCTGAATTTTTTCCATCTTTTCAACTTCTGCTTTCAAAAGGTTGTTTTGTTTTCCATTTTTTTCACAGTTTTCTTTGCATTTTTCTAATGCCGATATTACACCATTTCCAGTATCCTGACGCAAATTCTCACGAACAAAATCTTCAACTTCCTCCATATCGTTTCTCAAATCTCCCAGCTCTTCCCTAATATTCTCTCGAGCAAATTCGTTCGCCTTCAACTTTTCATTTAACGATTCAAAATCTTTCTCTTCTTTTCTTAAATACTCAATTTCATCTTCCAGTTCCTTGTTTAGTTTTTCAAGTCTTTCCATCTTTGGAATTATTTCATTGTTTTCGTTTTCCAACGAAGCCAAAGTTTCTTTAATGGATTCATTCTCTTGGATTTCGTCTTTTAATTTTTTGTTTTCGTTTTCTAGGTAGCCTAACCTCTCTTTGAGTGATTCATTTTCTTGTGCCAAATCGTTCAAGGACTCTAGCTTTTCTTCATTGTCTTTTATTGTCTCCTTAATTTCATTCAGCTTGACAATGCCTTCCTCGTTTTCATTCTTTAAAGCGCGAATTACTTCATTTAATTCTTTATTTTCGTTTTCTAGTGTCCCTATCTTCTCTTGAAGAGATTTATTATTTTCCTCATAATTTCCTAGATCTTCAACAACTTCTTGTCTAATCCGATCAGCTTCGTTCAACTTTACAAGAAGTTCGTCTTTTCCACATTGTATTTTCTCTTCCAATTCGTGGTTTTCCTTTCTCTGTGCGTCTAGTAAATCTTCTAGAGATTTATTTTCCTTTTCTAAATCTTCCACGTCTTTGGCAATTTCCTTATTATCTTCATTTGCTTCATTTAACTTAGATGTAATTTTCTCATTTTCGTTTTCTAGATCACGGATTTTCTCTTTCATTTCGTCATTTGCTTTTTCTAGCAAGCTCGATGTCTCTTTTAAAGCTTCCACCTCTTCCTGCAAATTTTTCAATTCTACAGCAATTTCATTTCTTGCCTTGTTACTCTCATTCAAGTTGGTAGCCAGTTCCTCTTTATCATTTTGTAAATCAGCCATCTTTTCTTTTAACTCACTGTTTTCATTTCCAGCTGAGCTTAAATGCTCTTCAATGTTTTTGTTCTCTTTTTGCAAGTTTTCAAACTCTTCTATAACTTCGTCCCGTTCCTTACGAGTCTCATTCAACTTAGCAATAGTTTCCTCTATTTCCTTTTCCAAACTTTGCGTTTTTGCTTTCAGCTCAGTATTTTCATCACAGGCTTCCTTACTTAACTCCAAATTATTTCTCAATTCTTCGTTCATGGCTTCAATTTTCTGTAATTTAGACACTAATTCTTCGTTTTCTATCTCAAGATTAGCAAGTTTGTCCTTTAGGGATTCATTCTGTATTTCAATCTCATCGCGTACAGAATCTTCCAAATTTCTTTTGAACTTCTCTTGTAATTTCTGAACTTCATCCAGCTTAGCGACAAAGGATTTCTGAAGATTTTCTACACGGGACATCTTTTCGTTCAATCCCTCATTGTCCTGCTTATCATCCTCATCACTTTCCTGACCATCCTCACTATATCCCCCATTATCCTTACGATATCGCCTATCATCCTCGTTATATCCCCTACCGTTCCCACTTCCAAAATCTTCATTCCCGTACTCCTTGTTTAATTCACTTCCCAATCCATCACTTTGTTTCACGGAATTTACTTTTGGAATACTGGCTTCAGGTGTTTCTGTTTGAACAAGCTCTGTACTCAATCTTTCCAATTCAATATCCACCCTATTACCTAATTCTTCCGCCTCTTCCAGGCTTGATCTTGCTTCCTGAAGAATATTATCCTTGTCTTTTTGCTTCGATTCATCCTTCTCTTTTGTCGACTCCGCCAGATTTTGTATTTCATTTAGCCTATCCGAAGAACTACCAACATCCTCTTTTGTAGCACTTAACTTCTTTAATTCCCGTTTATTCTCTATCGATTTATCCATCTTTTTTGTCGAGTTCGCCTGATTTTGGGACTCATTACTCCCGTTCAAAGAACTATCGACTACAGCTGTGGAATGTCCATGTTCTTCTCCAGCTATCTCGAAGGTTTCGTTTGAACAATTAAGATCATTCTCCATATCTTTTAGTTTGTGTACAAGTTCCTCTCTTCTTTTCTTCGCCTCATCCAACTCTATGGAAATATCTTCCACTTTCTCTTTCATTTTACTCAAATCACTTTCCTTGTTCTCTTTATCAGCCTTCCTGACACCTTCCAACTCCACTCTCAAACTTTGAAGCTCTTCATTCTGACTTTCAGTATTGGATACAATCTGTTCGAAAAGTGTTTTATTATTTTCCAGGATCTTAGAAATCTCGTGTTTCTTTGAAATCTCAATATCAGCAGTTGAATCTTGATCAACAATTGAAGAGAAAAGATCCTCGTCAACTTTAGCTTTCAACAATTCAATCTTTTCGTGGAGCTTTTGGTTTTCTTTGAACAAGAACTGGTTAACTTTCTTATAATCATCAATTATTGCAGCCACGGTGACCGTATCATTTTCAACTTCATCAAACAATTCCGGATATTCTTCCCCGCCAAACATACCGATCTCACGAATTTCAATTGAAGGACTCTGTAGGCCTTCACCCATCAGTGCTTCAAGCAATTCGTTCCCAACTCTAGACTTAATAAGATCAAGTAGTTCAATCGTTATCTCTCGTTCTTTTGAAAGCGTTTCTTTGGTTTCTTCCAGTTCATGAATAAGGTCGGCCATGTTAAGATTTTCTTCTGTCATTCGTTTCAAGATATCCGCATAGGTCTCTCCTAAGTTCGTATCATTCTTTTCCCCTGGGTTATCCATGGCCGACCAGTCTTTTCTTTTATGTAGCTTGTCGTTTACTTTGTCCAGTGCTGCAACTAGATCCTTTTCCTTGCGTTTAATATCTTTGTAAACCTGGTAATCGGCCGAAATGTCATCTAAACTTTCTCCACTTTGTGTTTGCTTGTCCAGTTCGTCTTTAACAGCCACCAAGTCTGCCTCCAACTTGTCTTTTTGTTGTGTGAGAGCAATACGACTATCGTCAAGAACCTGTTCTGGATCTTCGCTACTTCCCTTGGTTGAATTTCTTAATACATTCTTTGATTCGCCTAATGCTTCTTTCCGCTGTTGTAGCTCGTTCAAAGCCAACTTCATTTTATTTTTAAGATCCTCCCGTTTTCTTTGGGAAACCAGATCGGCGTCCTTAGTTTTATCGTCACCACTTTCCTCATTCTCAATTTCGTTTTCAAGACCAGACAATTTCGCCTCCTTTTTTGCTTTCTCTTTAAGAAGTAGTTCCATCACTTCAGAATAAGGAGCAGACCTGTCAGCCACCATTTTACCATCTTTCTCAGAGCTTAGCATAGTATCCTTGGAGTAATGGGTTTGTGGTAAAACAGAAGGATTTGTCTGATTCTGGGCGCCCTTTTCTAGTAAACTGGCTTTCCCATAATCGATAGTTGTGTTTGAGGTGTCTTCTGTTTGAGTTGTAGGGGGTGTAGCCTCTGTTTCCTGTTCTTCCTTCGCAGTGGACAAACTTTTCACTTGATTTCCGACATCCCTAAACATTTCTTTAAGCATTCCCTTGTTATCAAAACTTTCATCTAATGCACCCGAATCAGAAGTTTCACCAAAGTCCTTCATATGTCTATCTTTATCATCACGTTTCCCTAATTCACCACCATTATCCAACATTCCTCCAGCTCCTTCATCTGACGAACCGTAATCGGAAATCATGCCTGAACCAGAGCTTTCGCTCAATAATTCCTTCGAAGTTAGTCGATTAAGCTCTTGTTTTAGTTCAGCTTCACGAGCTAGTAATTCTCGTAATCTTTCGACTGTATTTCCAATATTTCCAGCCTCTTTCATTTCCGGGAAATCGGCCAATTCTGCATCTTCTCCATCCAGACTGAAATTTTCAATTTTCTTTTTAATAGTGTCCAACTGCTTACCCAAACTTTCCCGTTGCGATAACAACCGTCTTTTATCATTCTTCGACATAGATTTCCTGCCTTTTGGAGTTTTTGCCTTTTTTTCTTTGACAGAACCTTCTTCTGATGCGAGTTCATCAATTTTGCTGCAAACATTTGAAAGATCATTCTCAACCGCTTTCCTATCTTGAGCGGCCTGAACAAACTTTTCTTTGGCTTTCCTGGCATCTTTTTCCTCTTTCAAAGCGTTCTTAACTTTGGTATTTTGAACCAACACTTTACCTTGCGATTCTTTTAGCTTCTTTTCCAAAGCTGATTTTTCTTTTAACAATTTCGACATGGGAGCCCTTCGAGACGACTTTCGCTTCACTCTTTCCTCTCGAACAATACCTGTTGCCAAACTCAATTCATCGACCATATTATAATCATCAAAGATAGACATTTGACTTTGGGTGAGGTCTTCGACCGAAACATAACCCGCGCCAAGTGATGGTTCCGCGCTGGGATCATCCTTCACTCCTATAAGTGATTTCTCAACCTTCAAAGACTGTGCAGTTATTTCTTTGCCCAACCCTTCCAAACGAACTGCAAGGGAACTTTTCTTTTGAATCAAGGAACCAAGTTCTTCACTCAGAGCGAGTGCAGCGTCGGAGCTTAATGGCGGCTCTCCCAAATCAATCTCAGAAAATCCTTCCTCTGCCGACGAAATTGATCCAGGGTCTTCAGACTTTACTCCAGAGCTACTCTTTCTCTTTCTAAAACCTCTTCTCTTTTTAGTTGACGTGTCCGAAGCTTCTTTACTTGTCAACTCCGTGTTGAAGCTTTTCTGAAGTTGACTTTCTTTCTCCTGAGCTAGCGCTTCCAATTCTTGCAGCTCTCCTTCGGTCACTTCCCTTTCACGAGAAAGTTCGAGTAATTTCTTCGCAACTTTTTCATGTGTTTCTCTCTCCTTAACTAAAGTCTCGTATTCTCGCTTTCCAAGTTGATTCAACGATTTCTCCGTGTCTGTGAGTTCGTCTTCGAGTTTCGACTTCTCTTTCATCAGATCAAGTAAATTATTAACTTCCTGACCGCTTGAAGAGTTCGGTGTTTCAAATGAGGACTGGAGTATATTGATTTCGTGTTGTATTTTTTCAAGTTCATTATTTATTCCCTCAGATTCCCGATTCGTTGCATCTTCTAAATTACGGTTGAAGCTAGAATACGATGGGTTTAAATCGTTCTGTGTGGACAAACCTTTTTGTAAATTTTGAATAGCTGCCTCAATTTCTTGAATCTCATTTTCAGTGTTAATTTTATCATCAACTAGACAACTGATATCCTTTTCTCTATCTTTTAAGTTTTGTTCTTCGGTTAAAAGCTCTTCCACTTCATTGTATAACTGTTCAAGTTTTCTTTCAAGCGCTTCAATATCGCTGCCATCTCGAATCATCGGAATGTCACTACTTTTTCTCTCTTTACTGTCACTTTCCACCAATGAATCAGTCTTGAGCCCTAGTTGATGTAAACACTCTATCAATTTTCCCTCATTTTTTCCAATCACCTTCTGTTCATTTTGCATTTCATGCAGTTGTTCTAAATTCCCACTGCAAACTTCGAGATCATCTTCAACACCACTCAGCTCTGTCTCGATTCTATCTTGTTCGGAAACAGTTTTCACAACTGGAGTCTCTCTCTCAGTAATTTCTTGTCTTAATTTTGAGAGCTGTGACAAAATCTCCTCGCGTTCTTTCTCCAATGTTGTTTCGTTGTTCCAAACGTCAGGGATTATATCAACAAACTGTCCCCCAACTTTCATTCTCAATGCCTTATACTTCTCTTTCCAATAGTCTTTCTCGTCTTTAATTTCCGGAATCATTTGCAAACATTCCTCGTAAGTGAGTGGCTCGTTAATATCTTCATCTGCTACCTCTGTTCCATCACGATGCGACAGACCAACAAATTCTTGATCTCTAGAAGAAACATCTTTACTTTTAAGCTTACGAATATCAAAACTGCCTTCAGTTGAATTATCATCAGTTCCCACATGTCCAAATCTATCTGGAACTTTCCGTTCATTTTTCCTGCCCTTGTTTTTCTTTTCCAAACCTTCTAGAACTATTGCGTCTTTCCTGGATTTAGCTAACTTTCTTTCATGGTCATTATTCTTTTCCTGTAGGTTCTTAACTTTATTTTGTAGGTCTTCCAACATTTCTTCACATCCAGTTCCTGCCACTAATTTTCGCTGCAGTTCAACAATCTGTCGTTCTTTTTCTTCACAATCCTGAGCAAGTCGTTCAATTTCGTTTTCCGCTTCGGCCAAATCGATCACTCTTTGCTGTAGACGTTCTGTATCTTCCGCCAGCCCAACGGTATCACTTTCTAAATCAGAACACTTCTTTTCCAACGCTTTATTATCCTCAGTTGTCTCCTTGATCTTATCTTGTAATGTTTTAAGAAGTTCTTCCGCACCGCTTCCATCAACTATCAATCTCTGAAGTTCACAGATTTCTTTATCTTTCGCTTCATTCTCTTCCGCCACTTTTTCATTCTCCATCTTTGCCCTAAACAAACCCTTTTCCAGCTTTTTGTATTTCTCTTTTTCGTCAATCATATCTTTATTCATCTCTTCCACATCATGACATTGTATAGCCATGTTTTTGTTCGCATCTTTTAAAGCCTTAATTTCCTGCTGAAGATCTCCCAGCAATTCTTCCCCTCCGCTTCCAGCAACTAACTTCTTCTGAAGATCAGCTATTTCTTCATCTTTACTTTCATTATCTGAAATTAAATGTTTCCTTTCGAGCTTTGCTTTGTTTAAATCTTTTTCAAGTTGTTTCACATCTTTCCCTCCACGGTCGGTAGCTTCCTTCTCTCTCTTTTCCTTTCTAAGCTCGCTGTTCTCAGAGCTAAGCTCCTTAATTTCATTTTGAAGTTCTTGTAACAATTCTTCGCTTCCCGTTCCATTAACAATATTTTTTTGTAGATTTTCTAATTTTTCAACCATTTTGTCGTTATTCGCTTCTAATCTTTCGTTTTCCTCCTTTAAAACAGCAGCAATATTCCCCTCTCCATATTCATCCAAACCATCTCTACCATGCTCAAGTTCTGCATTCCTTATTTCCAACTCTTTATTTTTTTCATTCGCCTCACTCAAATCATTCTGTAAGTCTTTTAATACATCCTCTCCCCCAGTTCCTTGTATCATCTTAAACTGAAGCTCATTGATTTTATCTTGTTTGGCTTCATTTTCATTTTCCAAAACTTTATTGGCAACTTGAAGGCGCTTCAATTCCTTTCCATCATCACGATCTAAATTTGTCTGCCTCTTGCACTTTTCTAGTTCATGACATTTTGCTTCTAACTTTTTAGTTTCTTTGTTAGCAACAGCAAGCTTTTCTTGTAAGTCTGCAACAACTTCTTCAGCTCCTGTTCCCTCTACTAAATCTCTTTGGAGTTTATTGATCTCTTCTTGTTTGTCGTTCAATTGCTTGGCAAATTTCGCATTAATTTCTTCGCTGTCTGTTTCCAGTTCGGCCAACTCCGACTCCAGCATTGTTTTCTCCTTACCTGCTTCATTTAATTTTTCTTGCAAATCGAGAAGCACCTCCTCGCCACCAGTACCGCTTAATAACTTTCTTTGAAGCTCTTCGATTTCATTCTGTTTATTTTTATTACCATCGTCCTTTTCTTGCAAATCTTTTTCGAACACAGAACATCTTTTCTCCAAGGCTTTCTCGGATTTTTTAGCATCTCTTAAGTTTTCTTGCAGTTCCCCAAGCAAATCTTCTCCGCCAGTTCCTGCGACGATCTTCTTCTGCAAATCATTTACTTCTTCGTCTTTCCTCTGCAATTGTTTGTCCTTCTTCTCTATGTCTCCGTCCAATTCAGCACAAGTTCGTTCCAGCTTTTGTTTTTCCTTTTCAGCTCCTTTAAGCTTCTCTTGTAATTCTTCCAAAATCTCTTCTCCTCCTGTTCCACTGATCAACTTCTTTTGTAATTTATTGACTTCTTCATCTCTTTTAGTATTTTCTTTCTTTGCTTCCATATCTTTCTTTTCAATTTCATTTTCAAGTTTGGAATATTTTTCTTTTAATATTCCCATCCCCATTTCAGCTTCCTTCAACTTCTCTTGCAATTCTTCCAAAACTTCTTCTCCTCCTGTCCCGCTGAGCAACTTCTTTTGTAGTTTATTGACTTCTTCATCCCTTTTAGCTTTTTCTTCTTTTGCTTCCATATCTTTCTTTTCAACTTCGTCTTTAAGTATCAAACATTTTTCGACCATCATTTCTTTCTCCATTTCAGTTTCTTTCAACTTATTTTGCAATTCTTGCAACACTTCTTCGCTTCCAGTCCCAGCTATTAACTTTTTTTGCAAATCATTCACTTCTTCTGCATTTTCTTTCTTTTGATTGAACAATTCCTTATCTTTCAATTTTACTTCCCCTGCCAATTCCAAACATCTTTCTTCAAGTAAGCCCTTCTCCTCGTAGGTGTCTTTCAACTTATTTTGCAAGTCCAGAAGAACTTCTTCACCACCACTTCCACTTACTAGCTTTCTTTGCAGTTCAAAAATTTCCGCATCTTTTTGCTTGATTTTACCATCGAATTCTTTATCCTTTGCAACCAAACATTCTTCTAATTGGGAACATTCTTCTTGCAACCCAGCATTTTCTTCTTTGGTGATTTTAAGCTTGTCTTGCAATTCATTCAGCATTTCTTCGCAACCAGTGCCAGAAACTAACTGTCTCTGCAAGTTCTCAATTTCATATTCTTTCACTTTCATTTCATCTTCTAATCCTTTTTCTCTTGCCGCCGCTTTGTTTTCATCTCCTGAACATTGTGCTTGCAAAACAGCATTCTCGTGTTTAACCTCTTTTAATTCATCTCGTAATTCAGCAAGAATTTCCTCTCCTCCCGTTCCACTCACCAATTTTTTCTGTAATTCATTAATTCTTATGTCCCTCTCCTTAATTTCCTTGTCAAACTCTTTATCCTTTGCCTTCGCTTTGTCTTCAAGATCTTCACATCTTGTCTGCAAGGCAGTTTTCTCCTCTTTGCCGCTTCCAAGTTTATCCTGTAATTCAGCAAGAATTTTCTCTCCTCCTGTTCCACTAATCAACTTTTTCTGCAAGTCACTTATCTCACCATCTTTCTCCTTAATTTCATCACTAAATTCCAAATCCTTTCCCTTTGCTTTGTCTTCAAGATCTGCGCATTTTCTGTGCAAAGAGTCTTTCTCTTTTGTGGCATCCTCAAGTTTATCTTGTAATTCAGCAAGAATTTCCTCCCCTCCAGTTCCACTCACTAACTTTTTCTGCAAGTCACGAATCTCATTATCTTTCTCCTTAATTTCCTTGCTAAATTCTTCTTCCTTTGCTTTCGCCCTGTCTTCAAGGTCTTCACAATTTGTTTTCAAAGCATCGTTCTCTTTTTTAGTATTCTCAAGTTTATCTTGTAATTCAACAAGAATTTCCTCCCCTCCAGTTCCACTCACCAACTTTTTCTGCAAGTCATTTATCGCATTATCTTTCTCTTCAATATCCTTGCTAAATTGTTCATCCTTTGTTTTCGCCCTGTCTTCTAGATCTTCACATCTTGTCTGCAAGATAGTTTTCTCCTCCTTTCCACTTGCAAGTTTATCTTGTAATTCAGCAACTATTTCCTCCCCTCCCGTTCCACTCACCAATTTTTTCTGTAATTCATTAATTCTTGTGTCCCTCTCCTTAATTTCCTGGCCAAACTCTTTATCCCTTGCCTTCGCTTTGCCTTCAAGACCTTCACATTTTGTCTGCAAGGTAGTATTCTCCACTTTTCCCCTTTCAAGTTTATCTTGTAATTCAGCAAGAATTTCCTCTCCTCCTGTTCCACTAACCAACTTTTTCTGCAAGTCACTAATCTCATTATCTTTCTCTTTAATTTCCTTGCTAAATTGTTCATCCTTTGCTTTCGCCCTGTCTTCAAGATCTTCACAATTTGTTTGCAAAGCATCTTTCTCTTTTTTGGCATTCTCAAGTTTATCCTGTAATTCAGCGAGTATTTTGTCCCCTCCAGTTCCAGAAACCAACTTTTTCTGCAAGTCACTAATCTCATTATCTTTCTCCTTAATTTCATCAATATATTTTTTATCCCTTGCCTTAACCGTGTCCTCGAGTTTGTCACATTTTGTCTGCAAGGCAGCGTTCTCCTTGTTGCCCCTTTCAAGTTTATCCTGTAATTCAGCAAGTATTTCCTCTCCTCCTGTCCCACTAACCAACTTTTTCTGCAAGTCACTAATCTCATTATCTTTCTCCTTAATTTCCTTGCTAAACTGTTCATCCTTTGTTTTCGCCCTGTCTTCAAGATCTTCACATTTTGTCTGCAAGATAGTATTCTCCTTTTTTCCCCTTGCAAGTTCATCTTGTAATTCAGCAACTATTTCCTCCCCTCCCGTTCCACTCACCAATTTTTTCTGCAATTCATTAATTTTTGTGTCCTTCCCCTTAATTTCCTTGCCAAACTCTTCATCCTTTGCCTTCGCTTTATCTTCAAGATCTTCACATTTTGTCTGCAAGGCAGTTTTCTCCTCTTTTCCCCTTTCAAGTTTATCCTGTAATTCAGCAAGAATTTCCTCTCCTCCTGTTCCACTAACCAACTTTTTCTGCAAATCACTAATTTCATTATCTTTCTCCTTAATTTCATCACTAAACTCTCTATACTTTGCCTTTGCTTTGTCTTGAAGATTTTCATACTTTGTTTGCAAAGTGTCTTTCTCTTTTGTGGCATTCTGAAGTTTATCTCGTAATTCAGCAAGAATTTCCTCCCCTCCAGTTCCATTCACCAACTTTTTCTGCAAGTCACGAATCTCATTATCTTTCTCCTTAATTTCCTTGCTAAATTCTTCATCCTTTGTTTTTGCCCTGTCTTCAAGATCTTTACATTTTGTCTGCAAGATAGTATTCTCCTCTTTTCCCATTGCAAGTTCATCTTGTAATTCAGTAAGAATTTCCTCCCCTCCCGTTCCACTCACCAATTTCTTCTGTAATTCATTAATTTTTGTGTCCCTCTCCTTAATTTCCTTGCCAAAGTCTTTATCCTTTGCCTTCGCTTTGTCTTCAAGATCTTCACATTTTGTCTGCAAGGCAGTTTTCTCCCCATTGCCCCTTTCAAGTTTATCTTGTATTTCAGAAAGAATTTCCTCCCCTCCAGTTCCGCTCACCAACTTTTTCTGCAAGTCACTTATCTCATTATCTTTCTCCTTAATTTCATCGATATATTCTTTGTCCCTTGCCTTAACTGTGTCCTCGAGTTTGTCACATTTTGTCTGCAAGGCAGCATTCTCCTCTTTTCCCCTTTCAAGCTTATCCTGTAATTCAGCAACAATTTCCTCTCCTCCAGTTCCACTAACCAAATTTTTCTGCAAGTCAATAATCTCATTTTCTTTCCTTTTAATTTCATCCTCAAATTCTTTATCGCTTGCTTTTGCTTTACCTTCTAGTTCCTCACATTTTGTTTGTAAAGCGACATTTTCTTCTTTGGACTTTTCAAGTTTATCTTGTAATTCAGTTAATATTTCTTCCCCTCCTGTTCCACTAACCAACTTTTTCTGCAGTTCATTTATTTCACTTTCTTTTTCTTTAATTTCATTACTCAATTCTTTGTTCTTTTCGTTCCCTTTGTCTCCAAGTTCTTCGTATTTTATCTGTAATGCAGCTTTATCTTCTTTGGCTTGCCGAAGTGTATCTTGTAATTCAGCAAGAATCTCTTCTCCTCCGGTTCCAGCCACCAACTTTCTTTGCAGGTCATTTATTTCATCCTCCATTTTCTTCTCGTTATCAGAAAATGTCTTCTCATTTTCTTTTATTCCTCTTTGTAGTTCTGAATTCCTTTGTTCCAGACTACTATTCTTCTCTTTCGCTTCCTGCAAATTATCTTGTAAATCCTTTAGTATCTCCTCTCCTCCAGTGCCAGCCACCATTTTTCTTTGTAAGTCATTTATTTCCTCTCTCATCATGTTTTCCTCATCACCAGACGCTTTCTCCTTTCTTTCAATTTCCTTTTCCAGTTCAACATTCCTCTCTTCTAAACTACATTTCTGGTTTTCCGCTTCCTGTTTCTTCTCTTGTAACTCTTTGAGAATCTCTTCCCCTCCCGTCCCAGCCACCAACTTTGTCTGCAAGTAATTTATTTCTGCTTCCATTTTCTTCTTTTCATCACACAATGCTTTCTCCTTTCTTTCAATTTCTTTTTGCAAATCGGAATTGTTCTGTTCCACACTACTGTTCTGCTCTTTCGTTTCCTGCAACTTCTCTTGTAAATCCTTCAGAATGTCTTCTCCTCCAGTTCCAGCCACAAGCTTCCGCTGCAATTCATTAACTTCTTGTTGTTGATGTTCCTTCACATTTGTTAATTCCTTATTCTTCTTTTCAATTTCATGCTCTAGTTCATGACACCTTTCCTCCACTGTTGCTTTTTCGGCTTTCGTCTCATTCAACTTTCCTTGTAGTTTTTCAACAATCTCCTCAGCGCCAGTTCCTTCCACTGATTTCCTTTCCAGTGCTTCCGTTTCTTCTTTACTTTTGCTTAACTCCTCCTCCTTTTCCTTTATCGCCTTCTCCAGACCAGAACATTTTTCTTCAACTTCTAATTTCTCATCTTTTGCCTTTTCCAAATTTCCCTGCAATTCTTTCAAAATATCCTCTGCACCTGTTCCAGCTACCAATTTCTTTTGTAATTCACTGACCTCTTGCTCTTTTCCCTTCATTGCAGTTTCAAATCTTTCATCTTTTTCTAGCTTTTCGCTCTCCAACTCTGCGCACTTTTCGTCCAGCCTCGATTTCTTATCGTTCACGTCAGTTAATTTTTCCTGCAAATCTTTCAGAATATCTTCTCCCCCTGTTCCAGCTACCAACTTTCTTTGCAGTTCCTTTACTTCTTCTTCTGCGGCCACTTTCTCTTCACAAAGCTTCTTAATCTTGTTTTCCAATTCTTCCGTGTGCTTGTCCATATCCTTCTGAACCATTTCATTTTCTGTACCTTGTCGTTCGTCATTTGTATTTGCAGAAATTTGAGCATCTTTAATCTTCCCTAACAAAACACCGCGTTCATGATCTAAATCACTTCGTTTTCCTTCCAATTCATCCAGATCATTCTTCGCTTCTTTCGAACTTCTTTTCATTGCTGCTATCTCGTCCATGACCTCCCCCCTTCCACTATTCCTAGCTTTAAGAGCCCTATGAGCACGGTTCAAATCTCTCCTTGCTTTTTCCAACAATTCTTTGTATTTCTTAACAACATCCTCCTTGTCTTGCTCCACAGGATCAACAATACCGCTATCATAACTTGGAGTTGCCGTCAACTTCTGCCGCTGTCGTGGTGGAATCTTCTCCTCTCTCCCACTTTCTCCGAATTCCACATCTTCCAACAGAGCTCTCACTTCATCCTGAAATTTCGAAACCATTTCCCCGTTTTTCTGCTCTTTTTTGGCCCTTACCCGACGCAATTTTTCTCGGCCTCGTCGGATTTTATCAATATACTCATCGCGAAGTAAACGGCTCATGTTAAACCTTTCGATATTAAGAATGTTTTCAATACGCGGTGGGAGTTTGAATATTACTGGAACTGAAGTGTTGTCGTCGGTTTCTGGATGACCTTCTGGATCTTCCGGTTTTGGCTCTGTCGGACGTGGACTGCTATTTGTAGAAGATGCATCTTCCAAATTCTCGGAATCTTGATTTTTCGTGGAACCTTCATCATCACTGGGGACATCCTGGGTTGACGATGTTTCCACTTCACTGAGCTCGCTATCACTTGCGCATGAATCCAACTGAGGATCATTGCTCCCTTGCTGAGCATTTAATAACCTCTCAAATACCTTAACCAAAGCATCTGCTAGGCCATCTTTCCTGCTTGGATTTCCTACCAATTCTGTGCTACTGTTGGGAGAAGGAACGTCTTTGTTGTCCGTTTCTTCCTCATGTAGTGAAACCTCTTGTGGTGAAACCTCTTTCCGAACGTCAGGACTTTCTGTTTCTAAAAACAGAAATATTTTAAACAATACAATTTAACTACATTTGACCTTTCTGATACGCACATTGAAGGAACATTGCAAAATGTTTGTATCTGAGAGGTGCAAGTATCAGAGAAGTATCTGTATTAGAGAGGTGTCTAGAAGTTGCCGATGTATTTTTTGTTCACAAAATAGATTATTAATAAACTATTACTATTACCTTCTTCGATGCTAGACCAGCTAGACTTCCGCCGCAAATAATCTCCACCAACCAATAACGTATCTTGCTCTTGCGCGGCAGTTTCCAAGGCAACCACAGCCTGTTCCAAAATCAAGCTCGCAGCTTTGTGATCGCGACATCTTCTCCGTTGCAACTCCAAAAGCTCAAGCTTAACCGGAAGTTGCTGTTCTAGTCTTGAACGCTCGTTGTTTATCTCGTCGCGTGGTGAATCATTTTGCAAGTCACCGTCATTTTTTGGCGTGTTCTTCCCCTTAGAGTTTGTTTGTAGGTTTTGAAGATTTTCAGTTTCTTTGCTCAAAATTTCTTGGTAAAGCTCGCCAACTTCGGCGTGATGTTTCCAAGCATCCACGAACCTTCAAGAAATATATTTAGTTTTACGTTCAGAAAGAAAAGAACAGCTAGTACCTAGTTGGAGTTAAATTTAATTGCAGCTAACATTGATGAGGTCGTGATTCAAAATTTCAAATGAAACGCCCAAAAGACTTGTTTCATGTCATTCAGAAATGCAACTACATTAATAGCTCATTTGAGATGCTAATCAGATGTCACAATGACACTTTTTTGGGGCGAGAGGAAGGATTTGGGGCGGTTTTGGTAATACAAAAAGAGGACAATAATTTAATATATGCGAAGGTACATCTTTTTTCTAGCTAAAGTAAAAAAGTTTCCAATATTCATTAGAATAATTAACATTGAACAAGATTCACGTCTTCTTACCTTTCTTTGTCAAGTCTCGTGCTACGATCAAACTGATGTTCCTTCAAACACGTTTCCAGTTCCTCCTTCATCTCCATGTAGTACAAACGACTGAGATGAAACCTCTCCGTGTTCAGAATTTCTTCCATCAACACTTTCTGAGCTTGGAGACTTTGAATCACTTTATCCTTGTCTTCAGGGTCTTTGGAATCTCCTTAGAAATAAGAAAAGTCAATATATCTATTTGCACGCGATATTGGTGGGTATAAACATTGCAAATTAGCATTACGAACTAGCATTATTTTTTCTCATTCATAACTGCAGAAATAGAACGTACAATAATGTCAAAACTTATCTTATTTACCTTGTAAAGGACTTTGCAACTTTTCCAGCCATGCCTGACGCTCCTTTTCAAAATATTCTTGCAATTCTTGTAGATTCCTTTCCAGGTTTTCTTTCTCAGCTTTCAAGGATTCGACATCAATACAACTCGATTGATTTTGCATTCTGTCCACTTCGTTATCTTCTAACGAACTGCTGTGTACCACTTTATCATCTTCATTCATTATCCCTAAATGTTCTCTCAAAACCTTATTCGCTGCTTGATTATCATCACTTGATGTCCCTAAGTGTACCTTCGAGACCCCATTTACGGCTGGATTTTCACCCTTTTCATGTCCTACTTTATCATCCGGTATCCCTAAATGTTCCTTCAAGACCTCGTTTACCGCTTGATGTACACAGAAATCCCTCTCTCGCTCTTTTTGCAATTCTTCCAAAGTCCCTTCAGTTGTAGCTCGATGTCGAATTTCATCGCGAAGTTTCTCAAGGGTATAAGCAACCAACAGCTCTCGTTCTTTATCTCTCAATACTTGCTTGACCTCATCTTTCATTTCCGAGTCAAACACACGACCATCAAAAATCTCAATGTCTAAGATTTGTTCCAATGACTGTAACTCATGACAGAAATTCACATCAAGAATGTCTGGCGAAGGTGCGGTTAACTTTTGCCTAAGAACTATGCTGACATACTCTTCCAAAAGTTCATTGGGAGCCTTTTCTAAACGAACGTTATTGATTTCTTCCACCAAATTTATTTTAAAACCAGATTCCTTAGTTGTTTCGCTACTATCACCTGTCATAATCTTTTCCACAAGTTCGTTCAGTTTTTCGTTGAAAACATGAACTTTCATCTCATTTTCTTCGACGGTTCTTCGTAGTTTTTGTTCCAATTCGTACACGCTGCGTTTAAGGTCCTCATTTTCTAAATTTAATTCTTCAAGTTGGAAACTCAACACAGAGTTAGTGCGGTGCGGTTTGTTAGCAGTAAAAGATGTGTCTATGTCGTCGAAAGATTTCTCATGAGCCTCTGGGCTGTTGCTAGGAGACTCAACCACGTTATGAGATGAGCTTATGTCTCTAGTTGTTCCTTAAAAAGATAAGTTAAAAGAATGTTAGGTATTGTATGGTATTGTTTCTAGGTGTTCCCTAAAATGGTATGGTATGGTATGGTATGGCATGGCATGGTATGGTATATGATATGGTATGATATGGTATGGTATGGTATGGTATGGTATGGGCACAAGACAAGAAAAAACAAGGCAATATGGTAACACAATCTAAATACAAATTTTTTATATCAAATAATTTAAACTACCAATTATCTAACATTTCCACTAATTCTAACCTTGAAGTATTTGAGAAAGGATGTCTTTTTTATCTGAGGGAATATCACCATCTTGAAAAAGCTTTTCAATATCCTGAAGTTTTTGAGTCAAATCTTTAACATGGCTTTTCAACTTGAATATTTCATCTCTGCTTTTGTTTAAATCCGCTTGTAATTTCCTGTTTTCTGTTTCCAATTCAGATAAAGATTTCATTTCTTTTGTGTTGGATTCGGAATTTTGCATTTCATCAAGAGTGTTTTGACTTTGGTTAATCTTCTCACTTTCCAATCTATCCTGGCCTTGATTTTGTGTGGACAAACGTACTTCAGTTCCTTTAGAAAGAAAAATAAGTCATTAAAACATGAAACATATGACATTTATTTGGAACTCTTCGAATGTCTATTTCTTTAACTTGTCATGGATTAGGCAGTATGCAAATAACAGTGGTCACTACCCCAAGGGCCAGTTGTTCAAAGCTGGGTTAGTTTAACCCTGGGTAAACCTAAAATGCAATGCAAACGTCCTGACAGCCTGTCTATAAATTTGAAAATATTTCTTCAGAGATGTTGTCTGGATCAGTAGGAGTTTACTTCTCTGACGTTTTGAAATAAACAGACGTGCAGAAATACATAAACTAAAACAGCAGGTTAAATTTTAACCCAGGGTTAGCACTAACCCACCTTTGAACAACCGGCCCCAGGAAGTTATGTTTTTACCTGGATTTGTATCAAAAGATAGTCAAAAGATAGTGAAACAATATTTATTTGCAAGTGGACATTGCATTAGAAATATGCAACTAGACGGGTACAACCACATGCTGTGCGCACAAATTATGTAAAATGAACAGACAGTATTTGTAATCTATTTTACAACAAGCGTCTAGCGTCATTTATAAATAAGTCATGCTCATAGAAATAATAGATATGTACTATTTCTATGGTCATACTGCGTTGTAGTCAGTTGCTCTCTTTCTCTTTGTATTCTGCCAGACTACGAGAGTGGGAAGTATAAACCTTGCTTCCCCGTATGAACCAGATGCTGCTTTTAAAATTACTTAGATCTTAATGGATTTTATAATTATTGGCATATCGTTAAGCATGGTTTACACTATCAAAGTTTCTGTGATCACAGTAGGAATTTTGCATCGGTAAATTCTAAGTTTTGAAAGATTTGTAAGAAATATTTTAGCAAACTGACTTGATGTTAACCACTGAGTCAGTTCCCTCAAACATTTCTTACAAATCCCTCAAAACCCAGAATTTAGCGAACGGATGCAAAATTCCTACTGTGATAACAGAAACTTTGTTAGTGTAAACCAGTGTTTAGTGTGTAAACTAGGTTTTAAATTGGATACTGATATATCTGCTAAACAAAGCCTATAATCGTGTTTACCTTTCTTCTTCAATTCCTCCTCTAAGTGTGTTATTTTTATCAATAATTTCTCCTTTTCCTTTTCAAATTCAGTCTGCAAACCACTTTTCGCTTCGTTTGAGAATGATCTCTCGTTGTCAATATTACTTTCCTGGATATTTTGCATCTCGCTATCTTTCTTTTCCAGTTCTTCCTCGAGTCTGGCCTGCATATCTTTCCTTCCAAATTCACTTTGCTGGACATTCTGCATCTCGTTATCCTTCTTTTCCAATTCCTCCTGGAGTCTGGCCTCCATATCCTTCCTTTCAAATTCAAAACTTTTCAAAAGATTGAGAATCTCATTTCTGTGTCTCTCTTCGATATCTTCTCGCTCTCTTTCAAACTTTTGATCACTGTTCCTCGTATTTTCCATGTTTGCCCCTTGGAATAATAATGTCATGAATTTAATCACAGCATATATGTATTTCACTGCAGCTAACCCTCATGGTCGGGTATTCATTTCTAGTCCTAACCCTGACAACATTTCCTGTGGGAGAAAGTGAGGATACCCGGAGAAAACCCACAAATTACGATCGTGAATCATTTCTATATGTACCCTAATCTACTCTGTCAACACTCCCTTGGAGTACCCGAAGAAAACCTATGGGGAATAACGATAGCAGTGCTTTGACTTTAACTTAACTTTATCTTGAATAATTGATACGTTTTCATGAAAACCCAACCGTTATTTATGTGTCCATCCGGACATTCGATCAGTAAGCTACGATCTTCATCAGTTCAAATCACATTAACTTTGTTTACATAGTAAAATATGTCTTCATTTCATGTGTTTTTGAAGAGTGTTGTGAAACTCGACAACAGGCTTGGGACGCTCATATAATGAGATAAAAACCTTAATACAAAGTATAGTACGTATTTAGGGCTCTTTATATTCAAGACGCAACAATACATGCATCAGCCTTTCATCGATTACCTGACATTTCAGAACAAGGGCAAGGATGTTTATACTAATGGTTTATGTACAACAACTTTATTAGCCGGTAGTCGCATACGCCTCCATATTATCATCAAATATAAACGTATGACTACCAGATATGTCGGAATAGTGAAATAAAAAGTATCTGGTAAAAAGCTATGGCCAATTTACACTTACAATTATTGCTGCGATTTCTAATGCAATTCTCTTCTTCTGATGCATGTGAACAAGTAGATGAGTTATAAATGTTTTGAGACTAGTATACTTGTATGTTCCCTCTTCTGGACATTCATAATCAATCAATCAATCAACTCATCCACTTGTTCACAGCCATCAGAAGAAATCGCACCTAAACTCGAAGCAAAAAAATCAAGTATTTCAACGGTCCCTGCATGCATGTGCCATTGTAAACGAGACACGAGAATAATTTAGGCTCAACAAATTTGCCATATAGTAATTAATACCCATCTAGATATCGTATAAAATACTTATATTCTACATCACTGTAATAAAATGAAGCTATAAATAAAACTATGCACACTTTATCACAGCTACAATTGTAGGAACAACAAATAGAAGCCAATGTTAATACTTACCGTATTCCGTCTTCAGGTATTTTTTCGTTGTTTCGTCTTAAAATGCTTTCTTCTGAATACTCGAGAATATTTAAATCAACATACAAAGGTACCTGTTTCGCTGCATAAAATATACGACACAGCAACGTAGAAAAGCACTTTCCTTACCGAATTTTCCGCGTAAATTCCTTTATTTATGGAATGCGTATCAAATAATCGTTGATAGTGTACAAATGTCGTGTTTAAACCAACGTTTGTGACGCAAACCGCAAGATATTGTCGTGCTCCAATGTCATAGCTGTACAGACAGTTGTTTTGTTCACAAACAAGTACCTGCTCCGCGCGCGCAAGCGTATTCGTATTTGAATATTTTGTTTAGCCAGGCGAGTATATAACATGCAAAACAATCGTATTCGTTCTTCGGGCTCGAAAACAACTCGAGAAACGCGCAAGTTCATGGGCGAAGATAGATGACACGCACTCAGTTCACAAGTAACAAGTTCAGCACAGAAAACCGCGATCGTTGCACTACTATACTATAGATAATTTCAACGGTTTTGCAAATTTTTTCACTCTTTTTAACAATGATCATTTGAGTAAATCTTCCCAAATTTATCAATACACTTCTCACAAACTTGGACAAATCGGCTTTCATATAATTATGCTATAGCACATGGAGAATAACGTGCCAGACGAGAAGATTTTCGTATCCTGTATAAGGACAATTGTGTCAAATATCCCATCTTATTTTGTGTTCGAGCTCTTGATATATACACAGCTATTTCAGTTATATATGGTTGTAAGCAATAGTCAAATGTACGATCCTAGCGCAAAAAGTATAATGAGAATAAGATATTTTATGGGGTGAAATGTATTATAAATCATGTATACCCCTGGGAAAACAAAAAGAAGGTATGTCCATGGGCTACCTAAAGTAAAACAGCTAAAAATATTAAAATTTGGTATACCCATCTTTGACAACCTTAATTGAAGTAGCTGTATACTCTGAATACTCTGTCTGCCCAGTGGTCAGAATCGTGCTTTGCAATACTGACGCTGGCTGCTGACGGTATCAGTATAAAGCATACCTCAAGAGGAATCCATGGATCCAGTGATTACTTGATGAAATACAGTACAACCTTTCTACGATCATAAAGAAATACGAATCTTCTTTTTGCCCTCGGAGAAGGGTAACAGTCGTCATGGTACACAACAAAGTCAACAAGCATCTGAATTTAGTGACAATTCGATGGTCCTGCGAAAAATGAAAAGGGAAATTTATCGCAATTAGTGACTAAAGAGCAAATGAGGTGTCGAAAGCACAATGCTAAGTGCACGAGTCTTTCATCATTTGTGACCGGAGTTTGATTCCTGGAAATATACAGCTGTCTGATTATAATTTCACCTCACTGTAAATTTCAAGGGAATGAGTCACAAAAAATGGTGATAGAATATTAACTCTTCTGGAGATTTACAGCGCTCAGTTGTACGTGAGAAGAGGGCTTCCGGTTTGACTCTACCAAACAAAGCAGGTTTTCTTCGGGTTCCCCATTCAGTAATACTTGACCAATAACGGATGGCGCTTACTGAACTCTAGAAAGAGCAGTTTGAAATAGATAGAGTTATCCAGTCTAAATATAGTTAGCTTAGTGTACGTTGCTAACAGTAACGAGCCCATATAAGTCGCTTGCGGAAGACGGCACCTATAAAATCACTCAAAATGCAAAACTAAATGATTTAATTGAAATTATTTCAACAGTTTGTATCAATTACAAGAGTTTATTATCCAATCACTGGCCTGATCGATCATACTATGAACCATATTTAGCGCTGCAACTTAAAATATTTACAAGCAAGTGCCGACTTGTATGCCCTTTTTGTTTGTTAAAATTACACGCTTAATATATATCCCGCATTGATGTAATCCTTGTCTATTAAATCATTGATTGTATAATTACGTCGCGAACGACACGCATAGTTGAACCGATATCGCAATAAAACGCCGAGCGAATTTAAAGAGAAATGGAATTTTGTTAAAATCGCTTGCTAGATCGTATTAACAACTGACAATGGATATTATGGTCAGAAGGATTCAATCGACCCAAGCGGTGACAAACTCTGTGTGAAAGGTATATTTCTTTGTTGTGATTTTCCCCCTCATAGGGTCGAATAAACATAATATCGTCTGACTCGCTGTTGAGACTTTGTTGGGTTTAGATTACAACTCTAGCCCCAGTGTTAGCATAATATTTACGCAGAAGGGGTAATGGTATTGGGTTCCCGAGTTCACTTCAGGAAAGGCAAGGTAAATTTACGACCAAACTGAACACCGGATCGATTGTTATAGAAACTATAAAGATTTTAAGGTATTTAAATCGGCTAATATACAATTGATATTCTCAGGCATGTTGTGTTGTAATATTATTAAAAGGCTAGGCCTAGGGTCAAATAGATAGGTTTCTGCAATTGAAACACAAGGCAGAAGCGAAGTCTAGGGTAGTATTTGTAATGAAATTATTTGCTGGGCTATAATATTTTTAACTAAAAATGGGGTTCACTCGTGAATTCACTATAAACACTATCGGGCAGCGACAGGCGACAGTTATAAGAGTGAGAAAATAATGTTAATTCTTTTCTATAGATATAGTGGTTTTGAGTTTGATAGCAAATAAATAGAATTGACATATATATATAGTTTGAATTATTTGCATTCTCCTCTTCTGAATTTGGCCACAGTCCATCTGGTGTGTCCTTGCGCGGCACTTATCTCTGAAACCCACCACGATTGTCAAGGATATATTATTTAAGAGCTAGCAGTGTCAATGTCAATGACATTGTCAGAAAATGAAGACTGCAATTAAAGCGGTGAATTACTGAATTAGCCTTTCTTACGATGACGAATATCCGCCATTTTTGGGTGCCATCTAATTCTCATTTTTCAAAATAAACTAACCATTTACAAAGGCAAAGCAAATTTACCATCATTCGTCCAAAAAATATATAAAAGGTCGCTTTTATGTGGACTTATCTCGCAGACTTCGGCTGAAACCCACCCAAAAATGGCGGCGTGAGAAAGGCCAATTGATTATTCCATTAACTATGTAGAAATATTCCGAGGTATCCAAAGCATGCATGCCAAGATATGGCAAAAGATTTAAAAGGCAAGGAGTGTGGGCGATTGCTTTTACAGATGAAACGTACAAATATAACGTACAAAATTCACACTTGCCAAAATTCTCACAAGCATGCGAGGAAAATTGTTAAACTCCGTGGGAATATGGCGACAAATTCCCCGGCAAACGATCTCGTATCATTTCTATTTGATTTTCCCCGAGATTGCCAGCTGAAAATAATCGTATGTCTCAGACTATTTTCTATAGATGCATTCTGTGCAATTTTGAAATATTTTCCAATATTTTACTTGCAACTGTAAAAATATGCACTGCTGGTAAATTGGTTAAAAATGCGATTGATGAATGGTCCTTCGCTGAATGGAAAAAGTGTTTCACTTAATTATTCAATTCACAAAAACGTGAGGAGACATTATAAACAGTGGCCATGCTGCGTTATTGATGGGCGCAGGAATTATTCAAAAATGTGCTCCCATTTCGAATTCAGCTCTTAAAAGCCCATCATTACACGATGATTACGCAAATTACGGTAAAACATTCGTTGTTGCAACGCTTTTTGGCTACACGGGCTAGGGTTCGCATATTTTCCAAATACGTGTTGAACGAAAGCGAATACACCCTTCCGGAGTAGAATCCCGTATTTCCGGATCCGCGTTTTATCCCAACCCATATTGAAAGAAACGATTTTACGAAGCCAGATGTGCTATTCACAGAATATAGTGTTTTTTTTTCCAACGTTGAAAAACACTTGAAAGGCTATAAAACTACGGAAATGGATTTTACAATTAATACAAAGGAACTTGAATTTATGAATAGTAACTTTAATCTGGTTTATATCAAACAACGGACAATTTTTAGAGCGGTTGAAAATATCGCTATCCATCTGGCCTTCGTCGAAGATGAAATCTTTGCCATTTATTACATTTTGTCTTAAAAACCAACAAAATATTTAGTGTTGTCTAGGCCTAATTACGATAACATTATGCAGCTCAATTGAGTGTTTGTTTTCATTTCGAGAACTCATTAGAATAAAATTCAACTTATATTTGCATATATTCCACTGACGAAACTCGTTCTTCACACAAATTTTCCTTGTTCGTGTTATTACCTAGTCTTGCAAATTACATTTTACAACGATTGAAGGTTGAACGATAGCATAGCCCCCTATCTACTGAGCGGAAAGTCGCTTAGTATCCGACAATGGAACTCCACATGATATTTGACCGATGACAGGCGACATTCGCATGTCTGTGTTAAAATATCCGTCAACGTGACATGCAATGCTAAACAAATCCTCAAAATTGCGCTGTTATTTTGCCCATTGCCTAATATAACCTGACGTGCAAGTATAAACCGTATCCGAAAACATGGGTTTTAAGTGTTATCCTCTCTAAGACAAACTGGGAGACCTTTTAAAACTAATTATATTAACCGATACGGGGTCGTTGAGGTCAAGAATTGGAACGTAATCAAATATACATGACACACAGACACTGCATTTTAAAACCAGACAGCGAAAATTTAGGATGTCCGATGTTGTGTGCTTTAAAACGTTTATTTTTATACCCGTATAGTGTTAACAAGTCCGTGTGAGTGTTTCAATTCGAAGCAAATTAAGAATGGAAGAGGACAGCCAAGGACAGGAGGCAGAGAATGTCGGAATCGAAGAAGCATTTCTTCTCGAAAAGGCTGAATTGATGCAAGGTTTCATGGAAGAGGAGAAGCGACTTGAATTCGCTCATCGCGAGGAAATAAACGAGCTGGTCCGAGGGTTGGAAAGAGAGAAAGAGAAAATGAAACAAGTTTTTGAATACGAGAAACAGGAACTTCGCAAAAATTTCGACAACGAGAAGGACAAAATTCGCCGCGAGTTCCAAGGCGAGAAACATGTTTTGAAACAATCTTTCGAAGACGATCGAATCACATTGATTCGGCAACACGAGGATGAGACCTCGATCTTAAAGCAAGCATTTGAACAAGAAAAGGAAGAAATAAGAGAGGGTTTTGAGCAGCAAATGAAAGGCAGGGAAGAAACGTTTCTTTTAGAAAAGCGAAATTTAGAAGAGCGGCTGAATGTTGAGATTGACCGCGTTGCGGAAATCGAGGGAGAATTGAAACAGATATTGTTGACCGCGTTTAGTCAACTGGGGGAATTATACGAGGAGGAAGGCGCCAGGATTGCCAGCGAGGTTGCAACAGAACAACCCGAAGCAGACCAAGACGTTAAGACGACTCCGACAGCAAAATCGGAGTGCAGGAGGAGTAGAGGTTCTGCTTCCCGTGCGAGTGAAGAACGCACAGAAATGGGGAATATTTTAACCAAATGTCGCGCGGCTATTGAACGCGAGTTTAGCTTGGAAATGTATGAAATGGAACAGCGCTTTAGGCAACAGAAAAACGATCTTATGGAAATCTTCAAGCTCGAGAAACGCGATCTGGAACGGAAAACGAAACGTGAAAAACGCGAAATCGAACGCGAATTTGAAACGCGTTACGCGAAACAGATTCAGCAGGAACGGTTAAAATTCGACGCGGCGATACAGGGGTACGAGAATGATATAGCGTTGCTAAAATATCAGAAGGAACGAGTCGAGATTGAATTTAGTATGGAAATTGAGAAATTGAAACTAAGACACGAACGACAGAGGGTCGAGGTCGAGAAAAAGGTACTTCGAGAAAAACGCGAACTCAAGCAACTTTTGGAAACGGAGTATAAGGTGAACTTAGCCCAGGAGAAAGGAAGATTGGAATGGTTCGTACGAAAGCTCCAAGGAAAGCAGGAATTTGGGCAGGGCAATAGTATTTTTAGAGAAACATGATGGACGTAGAAAAAATAGGTTGCATTCTTTTTTACAGTTGCAGCAATGGAAGTGTTCCTAAAATATTCTATAGTATATCTCAAAGCTTTAAAGCATGGCACTTATATATAAGCGCCTTGCTTTAAAGATATTTTTCTGCACTTCAAAAAAAATGGGGATATACATTAACCGATAAATATATATAGTAAATTGAATGGCCGATGTTAATTAAATTCAACAATTATTGAATGATGATATGAAGAATTATTTAAAGCCCAAAGTCAACCGATACTGAAGGCTGAGGGTTAAATTTATTCATATCAGCATTATGACGTCATAATGCTCATATCAGCATTATGACGTCACTCCGTTGAATATTATCTCAAACTCCATATTTGGTCATCTATGGAGTTGATATGACAATTTAAATGTTGGTTATTAGCCAATCAGAAACCACGAATCTTCGAAATAAATAATATTAATATTTAATGAGCTGTCTCGGTTTCATAGTATAATTTCTGAATTCAAATTAGTTGAGGTGACATGTTTTATTTAATAAGTTAATTTGTTTCGAGAAGAGTCAAAGATACTCTAGCAATTTTAGAGCAAATAAATTATTTTTATTATCGATACATCTTATCAATTCTGTTATTCCCATTGCTCGTGAGTTTTTTTGTACGCCTTGTATGTAGTCACATTTAGCCCATTCATGCGGCGCTTCAACGAAAAACCTCACAAAAAACCCTTGTATTTTTCCATTTCTCCCCCCCCCCCAAAAAAAAAAATTGTGCGTGGGAGAAAACTTTCTTAAAAAACATCAGTCCGAGTTGACTCGCTATAGGTTGCTTGCTTCTAACAAAAAATGCCATCCGGACACGCGCTTGACTGGTCGCCGTCCACTAACAAGTCAAATAAAAAAAAATCTTTCACAATAGCCAAAATCAAACTGCCATATTAGTTAGTGTTGGCGGTTTTAAACAATATTACTCCATTACCATACGCTAGGCGGTATATGATCATTTATCAATACCAATTAAAATTTCAATTTTAATCCGTTTAAATACTAAAGGAAAGAAATCCCAATGAAATAGGTCGTCTCGAAATTTAATATATGAATCAATGAATCAAGACAAGACGAATTTTCGAGAATGGAAATTTTCGACTTTATTTCAAATTCATCACGAGATGAAATACAATATACTTAAACCAACATTAATATACAAAACCTATATAGAAAGACTTCGCTTTTGGCTTTTTTATAGTTAAATGCTTTCTGTTAATTTTCATTCTGTCTATATACATGATGACTTTGAAATAAAATCGGAAATTTACAATCTCAAAAACTTTAATTCATTATATACATATGTTTCTTTGACTTTGTGTATTTTTTAAATTGTCGCTTTTTGGATTAATCCATTTAAATTTAGCTATGCTCAAAACAAAACCGGACAAATTCACAATGTCAATGGTATATCATTCAGTTCAATTGGGCTGCGTTAACTCTACTGTACTGGATAACTTTTCGCGTAGCGGCGCGAAAAAACACCTATCCGATACGGAAAGTACAACTTTCAGAAGCTGAGCAAAATAACATTCTCCGTTGCAATAATTCCTCTAAAATAGCGTTCCTAAAAGGTACGGATAGGTGGGTTTTTTCACGCCGCTGCAGAAAGCTAAACGTGGCCTCACAGTTCACTTGTCATCCGGTTAGTTGCATGTCGATTTCGTCCAGTTGAATGTGTCTTTCAAAAGCTACAACCGTTCGAATCCGTTTAACCGTCGACATGTCATTTCCCTTGGGCTTCAAATATTGTCACAATATCTTCTTTTTGCTTCCTGAGCAACGCCACGTTCTCTTCCAGCTCATCTATAACCGAGTACAAAAATTTTCTCTCCTCTCGAAATTTGTCCTCGTATTCCCGTGCAATTTCGCGTCTGATATTGTTCCTCAGCTGATCAACTTTTCGCTCAACATCGTTTGTATTAAATTGTTTCATCGTTGCGACGGCTTCTACTTCGGTAAAACTTTTACGCTGTAGTTCCATCGAGATGGAACCATAAGCGCTGTCCCTGGATTCAGGGTTATCCGCCAGCTTATCTTCTTGTTCAAACGAACCGTCGGGCGAGATTTCGCTGTGTGCTTCCCAGCTGTCTGTCTCGTTCTCGTCATAAAGTTCATTAACGGGATCCCATTCCAAGCCGTCTAGACCATTTTCAGCGTGATTTTTCACCGGAGAAGCCTTCAAATCTTTCGCAAATCTTTTCCCATCCCTTATAGGCGACCCAGTGCCATTTTCAAGCCCTTTATTCTCGATTTCGTGCTTGCTTTTCGCTTTCAAACGGGAATGTTCGTCTTGCAAGCGACTTAATTCGTTTTCAAGTCTTAATTTCGCCTCGAGCATCTCGTAATGAAATTGTTTCTCGATCATAGCCCGTTCCTGATCGTATTTCGTCTTCAAAAGTTGTTTTTCTTGTTCCAAATAATCTTGTGGCGCAAAATTTTCTTTTTGCGCTGGAAAACTGTCCTGAAACCAAGATTTCGACCTACGCCATAAATTCATTTTCATTAATCGAGTCACAACAGCGTGTCTGTGCTAAAATCCCGCCTTCTGAAACGAATACGAGACCGTCTGAAGACAATACCGTTACGCCTTATGGCTTAATTTCTTCTCAAACTAAGCACGAAAGTTTAAACACAAAAATTTTCCGAATATCGACTACATGTTGTATATGGACAGAGCTGTATGTTATGAATGGGGTTGAATAGTCAAATCTATTCCCATCAAAAGTTAGCCAGCATTCATGCATCATTTAAAAGTAATAAAAATTTAAAATAAACAGCGTGCTCTCTGGCCGTGCTCTGCGATAGCAGATCATAAGTGAACGTTAATTTTTAAAATCATAGAAAGCTTATCTGACTTGGTTTACCTATTAAACACTCATGCCCAAAAATAGCTCTAAGGCATACAAGGTGAATGGAAAATGAGTTTTAGTTTTACATAAAGGTAAATAATGCAAGCTAAACGGTTGCCGTGCGGCCTGGAATAATGGTCTCAGGCCGAACTCAATGACGTACAATTTTCGGTACTACAGCTATCAAAATGAAGAATTGTCAATGACGAATATTGCAAAGTGTCTGTATGTAGTTGAGGAGTGTGAAAGGTTTTTACTTAAATTTGAAACGTCATTAAGCCCCTTCAACATGATCCAATATCGTTGCTGGCCTTCTTTTAACACTGTGTTGGCTAACGTTCGCTCATGTTGGATAGGGTTTGATATTTATATTATGTTCAAAATTTTCATCCAATATACAAACATCGTACAGCATGAGTGAGCTTAAGCAATAAGCATAGCCTATCGAAGGGAAGATGGCTGTGAAAGTCTTTATAGAATAACAATATAACTCGTTATCTACGTTAGTCAACGTTTATTCATAAATCTGGTCCTTCACCGTCACGTGTATGTATTGTATTTTTGCCAAATCCACCAATATAGCAATTTCCAATTTGCCTTATTGTTCGAGTCACGGATAGGTAACTTTCCCAAAACATTGCTATTGGTTAGTTGGGCAAAAATACAATACACAAGTGACGGTGAAGGACCAGATTTATGAATAAACGTCGACTAACACTAATTGGTCTAACTAATTTTGGCGGTATATTGCCTCATGGCGCTCGTGTAAGGAAGAAAAAAAACTTTAAAAACTTATGTTTTGTCATATGTGATAAAAATTACCACAAACTGACACAAGCCAGTCCCCCCCCCCCCCCCCCCCCCC